TTAAGTAAAGTTGGAAGACCGAAGTCCCTTGAAACATTTCCGAGCAATTTTACTTTGATCTTGTGACGAAACTTTATTTTTAACTCTTGTATATACTTAATGTTTCGCGAGCTTGGTAATATTTTGTCACTGCGGGATATTTTATGCACCATTTTGGCCGCCACTGGCTTTTCAATTATCTCGCTCGATCATTGCGTTATTATCTTTACTAACGACTGAATGCTAAATGAGTACACGCGTTACGTCTCCCTGTTAAGAATTTCTGAAGAAGAATCTCTTACTTTAATTACATTTCCGCCGGAGGATTTTAATGTATAATAATATCTAGTATTTATAACCGTCATTTTATTATATTGCAAGTTAACGTATAGTTAGAAGCTCTTGCACTTCGTCTAGCGCGCTCGCGATAGAAATAATATTATATAAATCCGAAAGTATAAACGTAACAACGAATTCTATTTCGCTCCAAGTATCGTCGTGCCAGTTTTTAACGCAGTAACAATCCGGATTGCCGGTTCACTGGATTATCGCGATAATATCGTTGTTTAAAAAGAAAATAGAGCGAGCGCCTGCTGAAAATATAAATATATTAATTTCAGTGCGCGTGCGAGGCACGACTCGCTACTACGAGGTCATCCTCGCAATTGCGCCGCACGAAGTACTCTATGCTCCCGCAAAGTACTAGATGCCCCGTGAGTGCATTTATAACGCTGATGGGGCTCGTAATGCACTTATAACGGCGTTTATGCGGTCTTGTCTAAGCGCGATGTACAGGTGGACATTTATCGCGCGCGCAACTCGCGTATGCGCGAATTCGTGCATTTGGCCGGAGTTATTTATCGACAACGTGGGCAGTTACTCGAATTCGCAATTTTCTGCCACCCGTAATGTGCAATATCGCCCGAAAGATTGATGGGGGGGGAAAAAATATACGTACGTTAATATTGAAATATCGGGGGATTGAAATACTGACGAGACTTCAATTTCTCCTGCACATATAGAATGTATCTCACGCGTAATTGTCTCGCTGTCTCCCGCGAATAGAGATAACGGTTAATTTTGCGAAAATGCGCGAAATAGGGGCCAAATTTCAATTCACTTTCAATTAATTTAAATTATCCGCCGGTTCCGGTGTGAGCAAACGAAAAGCGGGAATTTAATTAATTAATTAATTTAATTAATCTAATTAATTTACGGGATGTGTTAGTGCGGTTCTCATCCATTTTTTTTCCCGTGGCCACGCTCGAATTATCCTTGAGGCCGCACGTTCGACGTGCTTTTCAATTCAGAAACGCCACCCCCGCATTTTAACGTTAGAGAGCCGTAGCTTTTTACGAGCTGCAGTTTTTTGGTCCGCCGGAGAAGTGCTAATTTTCAAGTTTGACATTTGTCGTTGAATTTTTATGATGCTCTAAATCAACGAGGCTGCTCTGTGAATATCTCAAAAATAGTTAGTCATTTTCGCGGAGAAAAAATTTTTTTTTTTTACTAACCAAATGCATTTTGAATTGAAGTATTACTTCTTGATTACTTTCAAGTAAATATCCTTAATATCATTACATTGATTGCATCTGAGAAATAATTAGAGAAAAAAGGTTTATATTCTCTAAGTAATAAAAGATATAAAAATCCAATTTTAATTCGGGAATGGACGTCGATTAAAAAATTTACAAATGTAAGTTCTTGGAGACAACCAGCGATATTTCGTTAATATTATCACGCTTGTATTATAGACGATGAGTAGCTACACGAGGATATTTGACTGTACGTTTGCGTTCCCTGGACATTTATTGGCGCCAAATCAATTATTTTTATGAGAAGCCGTCATTCGCAGGGGGATCGGACTGGAAGAAGTTGCGTAACTTCCCCCGAAATTCTCCCGAAATACCCATATTTCTCGCGCGACATACAGTCAATGGATCGCGTGTTATGTATCCTCCGAGAACGTTCTGCGGTAGCAGAGAGAAATTCATGGTGTATCGATCGCGCCGGAATTTCGTGATAGGAGGATAACGAATTTTATTCGTTATGAACCATTTTTCCCACAAATATGTCGCGTCCTATTTTTCTTCTCTCTTGCCACTCAATTAACGCTGACAATTGGTGGCTCGATTCAAAAGGATGACCTGGTTTTGCGTGTTGCGTTACAACGTTTTTTTCTGTCGGTTGCCTTGCTTCGTTTGCCAGAGAGAGAGAGAGAGAGAGAGAGAGAGAGAGAGAGAGAGAGAGAGAGAGAGAGAGAGAGAGAGAGGAGGAGGGCGAGATATCTCCTCCTCTCCTCCTCATCTTCCCGCATATTTCTCTGTTTCCTCTCTAATTTCCACGAAGCTTGCCGGAGGTGTGGGAGTAAGGCTAGCCCCTTTGAAATCTTTTTGACGTGTAGCAAGCTCTACGTGCCGACGGTATCTTTTATCTCAGTGGCGCAACACCATGGGGGAAGCGTCGCCGTGGCATTAATATCTCGAAATCGTCCGAGGATAAGGGGATACTTTATGCTGATACGGGCGCGCCGGGTCTTGCAAAGGTACTTGAATGAAAGTACTCAATCTCAATGTTACGTACAAGTTAAACAAATGTGAGTTATCCTTTTATGTCTCGAGCTAGCTATCAAGAATCGCGAAAATAGCAAACGCGGATTGAAAGGCGAATATCTTTCCTGTACATGTCTCTTTTGCGATTCATGTAGCTTAAACGCGAAACTGCAGATGTAAAGAACTCTCCCCCTCCCCCATCTCTCTCTCTCTCTCTCTCTCTCTCTCTTTCTCGCTCTCGCTCTCTGTCTACGATATCAAAGAAAAAATGCGTAGGTGTTCACTTAAATTTCAAAGGCAGCTGTGGAATTTCTTAGTAAAATAGGAATTTCTCGCTAGCGTCTGCTCGAACGTAAACGGTGCTGCGAAGGGAGAATTTGAATCATATCTTAAATCGTCTCTACTCATCTACAAATCTCGGTTCCCGGCGTCGATCAATACGATACAATTTATATGTAGCGCTTGCAATTTTCAATTATACAAATGTCACATCTTTCATTCGCATGATATTTTACACCCACGGCTATTTTTAACGGCGACATTTGTCGAACGTTTCAATTCTCGTCGTCGCTGCATCGTTTAAAAGCGATGCTGGAGATTATGATATACAAAGATATTAAAACGAATCAGTCTGGATTTCGCGCCGGTCTCGTAATTGCGATAACAAACGCAAATGTTGTAGCGTTCTATTTAAATAAACGGAGCCATTCCCGAGACGAGGGAACTCTCCTGAATACGGCGTCGTCTTTCGCTTCGCGATACTTAAACTTTTGTATCCCGGATGTTTCTTCCGTTATGATACATTAAATTCTCATTCACGTTGGAGCTTACCGACTCGAAATAGGAAAAGCATTACTCATTTCAGATGAAACAAGAAAGATTCGAGTCTCCGATGTAAATATTTTTCTCAACGCTGGTGCATATAATTGTTTTGCATTACCTCCCTGAAAAATGGCAGTTTGAAAGGACACTCCATGAAAGATTCACGTTACACTTTGTCTCCTCGAATACATTTCGAATCGTTTATTGAATTTCTCTACGTATAATTGTATTTGTAGAAGTTGCGAAACAATTTCAAAATTAGGGGAGATTTCGAGGGTAATGTAAGTAAATACTCGAATGGATAGCGAAACTTTAATGATCGATTAGCTTTAAATGGAAATTTAACGCATCCTTTTAAGCTCAACGAAACTTTTCTTAATTGCCGCACTCTCTATATTATCCTATATATAATTGCATTTGTAGAAATTGTGAAACAATTTTTAAATTAGAGGACATTTCGAGGGTAATGTAAGTAAATACTCGAATGTAATGGATAACGAAACTTTAATGATTGATTAACTTTAAATTTAACGCAGCTAAGCCCAACGAAACTTTTCCTAATTGCCATACTCCATTATATCCGTAGAATGTGACGACAAAAACTCTGAAGTCCTAAAAAAAATTCCGCATTACGAAGACTCGGGTATTTTTCTGTATCTCATATTATTTCGGCGTAGTAATTTTTTCGTAATGCGTAACGTGATATAATATTCGAGACATCCTAGGTCAGATATACTGCGTTTATATTGTATTGATCTTTGCGCGATGTAAGATAATTGCGAATAGCGTCGAGTAGCGCGCACTGTCGTGCGGCGTGGGACAGCAGAAAAATCGCACATCTCTAATTCCCGACTAGCAGCCTATAACTGCGCGTTAGGATCAAAAGCGTCGTATTGTGCAACAAATCCTGCGAGTCCAATATTTGCGATGCACTACGCGCACAGCATCGCGATGTCACGTATACAATTGGCAGTTTCGTTATGTGACGCAATGCCTCTCAATCCCAAAACGATCGCGACAATCTCAGACGAAATGTACATGTGTGTTTCTCCCTCTCCTCCCCCCGCTGTCTATCTATCTATCTATCTATCTATCTACCCACCTACCCTATCTCTGTATGTGTGCGCTGCCGATGAATAATCCGGATGCGACACAGAGAGCGTCGCGCGTCATCGCAGGAAATTACGTTGTGTTGGAACTTTCGTAATATTGCTAATTATGCCAAATTTAATTAAGTCTCAGCGCAGATATTTTCCGCGCACTTTGAACAGATAATATACGACGAAGCATTGCTCTCCGTAACTTATCACTGCTATTGATTTCGTCGATACTTTGGTCTCACAAATTCGGGCCTTAAAACTTGACGGTTTTCTAACGTCAGTGTTTTCTTGACCATACCTGGCATTTTTAATAATACAGAAAATTTATTGCGAAAAATATTACCTCAGCCGGGGTTTGAACCTGGACCTCCTTACACTCTAGGCGGGCGTCTCGCCGATTCGACCACCGAGGCAAAATTTCTTTGTTAGATCACTTGAAGAGGACCACAAACCGTGGTCGAAACGTTGTGAGTTTAAACAGAAAACTTTGCCAGACATGGTCAAGTAATCTTCTGAAGTTTTTAAATGATTTAGTTCACGCGACAAACGCAATACAATTATTTAGTAATGAAGTGGACGAGTTTGTTGTCTCAACCATACAATTTTGTTCAGCTAAACAACTCATGGAAACAAAATAGTTCGTTGTTGTGACATTTAACTTCTTTTCGGCAACATATTTTTCGTTTTGTACAACCGAATTACATGTTCGGTCAACAAACTGATTCAATCAAGTTATCTCGTTTCATTCAACAAAATGGGTCTCTCAGTGTAATCCGATCAACGCGATTCATCAACTGGCAGTGAGTTGAAGTTGAAGGCAAGTTTTAATGACCATTTGTGGGCAAAATGTTTATCTCTGCTGCTTAAATTGCGTCGCGATTCGTTAGCCATCTGTCTTTATAAAAACTGTAATGGAAGTCGCCTCCGCACGTGTCGGGCGTGTAGATAACTCGCTGAAAATGCCGCTTATGTATAATTGTCGCGTAAAATTGGCGATACGAGATTCTCATTTCGATACGATATCTACATTTCCGTATGAGATGTGTATTTATCTGTAGAATGTGGCGCGACATACCTGCAGGAGATGTAGATCCATGCCAGTGTGTGGCGCGGCGACGGGAAACAAAGCGACTCCGTGGTCGATCTTGAGCGGCTGCACGGGCTTGTAGGAGTCCAAATCAAGATGATAGTCATTCTCGTCGCATTCCTCCGCCATGTAGGCTTGCTCGATCGCGGTCGTATGAACGCTCAGGGTGCGATGAAGGGAACCGGTAGTCGCGTCTCTGCCACGAGCATGTCGATGCTTAAGGGGGAAAAGAATATTCCTCGTTGAGTCAAATCGTCGAGTCAATTCAAGTACATTTAAAGAGTGAGAACAAGTGTCCATAGGCAAATGGCCCCTCGCGTTTGATTTTGGACACGAAGTAGGTGCCGAACGAAAGGCCTCGTCAAGCTGATTACAGATATGTCAGTCTCGGAGTGTACCTATTTAACGTTCCAGAGATATCGGGCTCCGAAAATTCCAAAACCGAGTTGGAGTCGACTAAAAGGTTTCCCCAATGGTCGATGCTAATGACATCGTCCTGCATTTTCTATGAACCTAAGTAAGTTTTAAGTGGATTAAGTGGATTAATATCTGGCGCTCTTTCATTTTCTACAATCTAACCGATAGGTTCGGTCAAAATTCATAACGCCATTTCGTTTGGTACCTACTTCGCGATCAAAATTGATTGCGAAGAAAACGGGGCCGATCCTGCTCTCACTCTTTACGCGCCCATCGAGAAGAGGGAACATCTCCGAAGGCCTGTGTCCACGATTCTGGAACTTGGTCCAATTCAATGCTCGGTCTTATCACGTAAAATTATAAATAGAATTCTGTTGCGTAAGTTGCCGATCGTTTAATGGCTATTTTAGCGAGTCACTAGCTTCGCTATTTCGAGCATCTATCTCTTTTTTCGCTTGTATGCGAGACAACACTTGACGCGACACTACAGGTTGTTCATTGAGATGCTCCTCACGCGGCCCTGCAGGCCGGTCGGGTGTCCTCACCTTGTGAAAGAGCGCGACTTTGTCGAGAACGGAATTTGTATCGTGGGCTGGTGCGATAACTGGCGCGATGGCTGCCGGTGTGATGGCTGGTACGATGGGGTTCTCCGGTTTGTTCAAGGATGCACTCCTCGAACTCCATCCCGACGGCGTCTCTGTGTTACTCTCGACGGCGATCCTGGCGACCGGCGCAGAGGAAGGCACGTGTTCTTGAGGTTCGCTCTCCTTAACGCTAGCACGTGGTGACTCGCGATTTTCCTTGTACTCGGGCTGGGGCTGAAACACGCCGAGCCGGCGATGCTCCTTTAGGAATTACAATTAAGTTTGTCGCGCACAAAAATTGTCTGTATAATGGCAGAGCCTCGATCGACCTTCTATCGCGGTCTCACGCCGTGTAATTCAGGTAGACTAGGCAAAATAATCATGAAAATGCAATTTATACCATGCTCAAAGTAAACGGCTTCGATTTAAATAATATAGCTTTCTCAGCCGGGCATAGAATGCATATAATTGAAAGGTTACTAAAAATATAAATAGCTGCTGTTCTATAATAAGACAGAGCGAAAAGAATTAAACTGCACTTATATTAACACACAAATTTGGTCGAGTGAACACGCGCAGAATCCTTTTATATTCAACTAAACGATTTAGTATACGCAACAAGCGCAATTATTTAGGACGTGATGAGATGGACGAATTTGTTATCTCAATCAGAAAATTTTGTTCAGATAAACAACTCATGGAAACAAAATAGTTAGTTGTTGTAACATTTAACTTCTTTTCAGCAACATATTTTTCGTTTTGTACAACCGAATTACATGTTCAGTGAACAAAACGATTCCATCAAATTATTTCGTTTTATTCAACAAAATGGGTCTCTCAGTGTATTTTTAAAAGAAATCTATTCCGATTTTTCTTGATTTTATGCGATGTTGCTACAATTAGGGAACAAAAAAAGGAGGATACGGAAATAAGTCGAGATTGATTAATAAAAAAAAATGCGAGAGCTTGAAATTTTAACGGTCTGTTCGGAGTGACATTGAAATTAGCTTTCAGTTTCACATGACGTAACGTGACATTTAAAAAATGCATTGCGCAGCCAGAAAACAAGCGAGAAGACGGATATGATAATGATTTGTTTATTAAAGCAATTTGCTATCAACGTGCAAGGGACATTTCACGTGAGATTATAAAATAGAGGATTACAATACAGTACAGAGCGCACAAAATTATACTATAATATTTAACATGTATAAATTAATCGGTGCCAGTTCCGATATATCGTTACAATCGGTGGCTCACGGAAGCACAAAAGAACTGGCAGCTGTTGTTTCGCACGTACATACATTATATCCAGGATTGGGAAGTAGCTCGTTACTTGTAACGAAGTTACAGTTACTGCAGTTACTTTTTTTTTGATAACCCTAACTTAACTTCGTTAATTCACGAATTGATTTATTATCGCCAGTAATATAAAACCAATGATATAGTTTTTCGGAACTACCTACACTGGCCAATGCTTTTATTTAAAAAACCAACGACGTTTCGGTCCCGGATTTGGACCCTTTTCAAGTATTCTTTCGACACAATTGCCATTGATCTCATATCGCTCGTTTGGCCAATATCGTTATGTTAACAAGATATTGGTAAAAAAACTTTGTTACTTTCTCTCCATCTGTACCTGTAACTTAACTCAGTTACATGTTTTCGGTAACTAGTAACTAATTTAATAGTTACATTATGAGTTACTTTATATGTATTTTAAACCTCCACAGATCGCATTAGGCCTTGCATTTGCGCATAAACGCCTTTATCGACACTTTACAATTCAAGTGCAGATTTGATATTTTTATTTTCATTGCAGGAAAGCAACTGCAAACCTGTACAGCAGAAAGTTAAATTAATGTTGCTGAAACGTTGCAATGTGGAATGTTGAAGTATAAATATCTTTTTTACGTTGCATCTAGGTTAATGTTTGTACATTGATTCTTTATGTTGCTGCAACGTTAAAACAACGTTGAACAAATTATTATTTTTTGACACTCAAATAGATACTTAAAAAAATGTATAATTATGAAATTTATATATATTTTTTTAAACGGTCAGATATTTTCTGAGCTAAGATTGGATTATTATTTTAATGGAATAAGTCAATTCAATTTCTGCACTTTCAACAGTTGTAAAAAATATTGTACTAAACGCGATCAATGTTAGCTCAATATAATTTAACAATGTTTTCTGAACGTTGAATTGTAACGTTTACAAGACATTACAATTCAGCGGACATTAAACGTTTTTGCGATATCTTTGCAACGTTGAATCTGCATTTCGCAACATTGATGTAATATTGCAACGTTGTAATGGTACGTTTCTGAGATATTGATTCAACATTTGTGTGCTGTAAGGGAAAGTAACGATTCGTTATTTTTTGAGTAACTGCAACTGTAACGCGTTACTTTTCAGAATTGGTAACTTGTAACCGTAACTAGTTACATTTTTAGCGAAAAAAACTAACTGTAACTCGATACTTTTATAAAGTAACTTTTCCAGCTCCTGCTTATATGATTCTAAGCATGACGACACCTCGAAAGAGTGCATTGTTTGCGGCAAGATATTCGCTTCGAGGATGTAGATTCGATAATCCGAGTAACGAAGTTACCTTTGTTCCTAGAAGAGGAACTTGGCTTTCGAAATAGGAATCAATAGCTTACGGCTTGCTCTCGAAACACAAGCTCGAAATACACTCTCGCGTGTTCATCAACAGGAACACTGGATGGCCCTTTAAATCTCTTGATGACTGGTAGCATATATAAAGGTCGCTTTCACAAGTGTAAATCTCTCGGCGGTCTCGTAAATATACACGGCGCTGAGAAAGCGGTGGAAAACTGTGCTTGGTCTTATTTTTAATTTTCCGCGAGATTTCCCCGCCAGTTACGTACGCTTTCGCGAGACGCGGTGGACGCGAAAGTAATTCAATTAATGAACCGAACGATACGTTAAAGTGTGTGGAATTGCACTTGGCATCCTCTCGTAAATACAATTATTCTCAGTACGTGTAACAATTAATGTGACTTATATTTATAGAGGAAAGTTTCCTATTATAAAATGGGATTCTAATATGAGACAGTAGGTTTTTGACGCCCAGATTCGATGACAAATCTTTCCTCGCAATTTTCTACTGAACAGATTTCATTCCAAGTGCAATAATAAATTCGTGGTGGGACCAACGAAAGGTGTCTATTAATTTATCAGAAACTCCGCTGTCTCGTATTAGGAGACTGTCGCCATAATAAGGGACTTTCCTCCAACGGTATATTTCGAAAGTACAGCTTGAGTTTTTGCGGGCAAGTTCTTAAGCCCAGGTTAACGCAAATTATATATACAAGTAATCGCTCGGAAGCTCGGAAGCTCGTCTACCGGTCCGTAAGCTAGAAGCGCGCCAGTAGCAAGAACTTTAATGCGGCTTATAATTAACTGTTATCCGATAACCTTAATCTCGCGTGGATATATATCGAGCGATCGCTCGACGACGCGGCGTCATAAGGTAATGCTGTTTCGCTTTATCGCGCCGTGTTACCCCCGCCGATCGACCCGCGTCGCATCGGGCGGCACATCCAAAGCCGCTAAGTCGTGCGGGCCAAATTGCAAACGTGCTGAAACACGCGTGAACACATTTGCCGGCGGGATAATTTGGGTACATGTTGATCGAGCCGCTCGCGGGTAAGAAATTCTGTTGAGACGTAATTTAACGCTCCCCTGGAGACGGAGGCGCCGAACTTGTCGCGCGCGATCGAACGACGCGATATCGGTTTTGATGGAAAGCCGAACTGTCCCGCAAACTGGGAGGTGTAGTACAGGCGAGACGGGAGAATTAACATTCGTGCCACAAGGGTCGGGGATATCTTGGGGAACACGCCTCATAAAAATTTTATCTCAAAGAAGATCGAATTGGAGGGAGAAAGATGTTATTTAGCATCCGCTTGCCTCCAAAGTAGGGCACTTGTTTTTTTATAAATGTTATTACGTCTCTTTGTGACAAAAATTCCTCGCGTTATATTTGAAAACGGATCAGGAATGTGTCTCTCCCATTTAAAAGTAATTTAGCTCGCATTCTGCACATTCTATTGCAAGTACCTTGCACCTCTAATTATTCTCCAGATTTGATTGAAATCGTTGCACTTAAAGCGACTAATGTATCTATATAATATGATCAATGAATAGAGGTGTGACATTTGGATGTTATTCTTTTGGCATCTTTTGCGTTTTGTTTTCCCGGATTTTGCGTTATTTGATAATATTTTTGACATTGCCGTGGTCAGAGGTGGGCAGGGCTTCAATAAGACGACTTAATGTTTTGACAGAACAATTTACGAACATTTATTGAGGCTGAGCATATGTTAAAAATGTAACATAAAACATAATATATTAAAATAGCATGGAACAAATTACTGAAATTAAGTACATGTCATTTTCAGGCTATAAAAGCAGTAACATGTCTAAAAAAGTAAACAGAAAGAAGTCTTGGGCATAAATCTCTTTGGCTTAGCCCTAAAATTGAACAAAAAGAACTGAATGGTAACATTTCACAATCTCTAGCAAAATTATTGATATCAAAGTGACAAGAAAAAGGTATCAATCCTTCAAATACAATATTTACTTGCAGAGTTGATTTTTAATAATTTTCAACCCTTTTCTCTGATACAAGTGACACAACATTGACGTTAGAAACGTTTACTAAGCAAAATTGCGATTTTTGACGTTATTTGGACGCCATTTTGCGTTTTAAAAACGTGTTAAAACGAAGTTGGGGACTCCAAAGTGTAAAGAAATGACATTAAAAACGTTCCTGGGGCATTTTGCGATATTTTGCGTATAAAGATAACAACAAAATGTCACACCTCTATCAATGAACGATAGCCAAAATAAACGCCAAATGGCAGTGTAGTCCACGGCGTTTCGGCGCAGAGGGAGAATTAAAAAAAAACAAGAATATCCAAAATAATTATTTTGATTAAAATAATTCTCTATCAATATAAGGTACACAGTTGAAAAATTTGTGTTAAAACAGATATCACATGTCTCTAACGGTCCACACAAATTTTTGTGTTAATTTAACATAATGTGGATACGTTAAATGATCACACTAATACTCTGCTAATATTTTAACACAAAATAAATGCAAATCTCAAAATAATTTGAAATACATTTTGTGTAAAATTAACATATTTTTAATGACCAAAATGAATGTTAAAAAATGTAATTTTTACATTTTACAGATGTAATAAGTCAAATAACGGTTCGAAATCACTCTCACTTATGTTATATAGAATAAAATCAACATTTTATTCTGTAAATTTTAACAGATAAATCTTGTTACTAATAACGCAGAACATATGTATTGTGTAAGATTAAAAAATAAGTATACATTGCGTTGGTTTAACATTTCTTTTTTACTTATTTTAATAATTTTACATTCGGGGTCAATTAAGACAAGAGCAATATGTTAAATTAACACACAACTGTGTTAAACATTTGTCACAAACATTTTAACCGGCATTTCTTTTAACAAGAAAACACAAATTTTCCAACCGTGTAAGATTTGCAAAACTGTTTTCGCGTGTTGATAAAAATTAAGCAGCCTTCGTGGATAATGTTATCGCGAGAGCTGAAGGGATAAAAAAAAATCTTTCACCCTCTCCTCCAGGAACACGAGTCCTTCTCACGTAATTCGCGCTACTGTTCTACGCTTATTCATAACTTTCCTCCCGGCATTATCCACGAGTAACGATGTGGACACCGGAAATACGGTAACATACAGGGAGCGACGCCGTAATATTTGCCCCTTCGGAGTTTAAAGCTCGAGACCATCCGCGTCGGACGTGACGTCGGACGGACGAAGGCAACTCTCTCGATGTCTGTTGCTCAACCTCGTTATCCTTCCTTCCTTACCTCCCCCCACAGAAATGCACCCCAAAGGACGTACGTGCCGATGAGGGGACAACCAGCAACACATACACACATACACACACACACACACACACAGAGCTGGATAACGGAACGACGCATATCGCAGGCTTGGTGTCTGACGCATCCTTGCGCCGCGCCGTCGTCGATTTGGAATTCCATTTGCGAGCCGCGACATCCGCATCGTGGATACATTCGGTTTGGCAGATCACACCTTCCGGAGAAAGAGAAATGGGGGGGGGGGGGAGACAATGATAATGAGACGTACCTGCCGCGTCTTCGATAGTCTCAAGGCAAGGCATATCGTTTACATTTGCTCCCGTAATGTCAATCGATGTCGAATTCATTTGAATGTAATTAGCGATCAACCCAGCGAGACATTGTAAATGATCACGTCGTGGATTGATTAGCCTCGCGCCCCAGAAATTATGCGTTCCGCTGTGCTTTCCATCAGCGAGACGCGTAATTGAATAATTTCCCCGAATTGACGTTGCGCGCTCGCGCGTGTATTTATTTTGAGGAGAAAAATGTGTAAACAACAATTTTTTGTAAATTTTTTTGCCGGTGAATTAACAGAATTAATTAGATCGTATATTTTTATAGCGCGTTACGGCCTCCATTCTGTGTGATTACAGTTTTATTTGCCCAACATGAGGATCGCGAATATAAATGAAATGTAAATATAAAATGAACACAAAAGCGTTGTATAATTTAATATACAATTTAGCGTTAAGCGCGCATAATGACATTATTAACTAATATATTCAATTAAGAGGTTACATAAATAAGTATTATTTGCCATTTAATTGTAGACGATATTCGCGTCAGGACACAAAATGAAAGTGCATTTCGACGTCGTCATGCGCGACACATTTTCTTCTAAACTCGTCAAATGTTTTTCGTGCCACGCGCGCAACTGTAAACGGAATTCTGTGTTGAATTCTGACGCGAATTAGGATGAGCTTTATTTTAATAAATCTTATAAAGTTTCGTTCGCGCCCTTGTCCTCCCTTCTCGAACCAAACCCTCCGCGACCTCGCGATGCTGTTTCACGTGAACGGAGAGTCGAATTACAAACTCGTGGCGGTGAACACGTGCTTGGTTTTAACGACTGGGCGGCTCCCTGGGATTTTCTCGTGCAATTTAAGTTTCATGGGCCGCTTTTAGCAGTACTGATTTTCGTTGCGGTCATCCGAACACGCTCTTAAACATGGAGTAACGTGACGCTGTAAAAAGCCGAGGAAGACGCCGTTTCGTTCCCCGATGACGATCGTTAGCGACAAGAGCAAGTAGTTTCCGCCGGCCTACAACCATCGTAGCTGCTGGAGGCCGATAGAAACCCCTTTCCTTGTCGCTTTTACGGCGCGGCCCTTCGCTTCGCTGTCCTTCCGCTGCTATTCTTCGTGAAACTTCGTAGAAGAATTTCGATGCGCATTCCCAGGCGTTTGCGCTCGAGATGGTCCTGTTTGAAACGCAAACTGTCTCCCCTCCGCGATTCTCGAGGATTGATCTCGCTCCTCGTGTCGATAGCTTGTGTAACGCTGGCAAACTGTTTGGTAGTTTGCGCGACGTTGGCGCACAACGATTATTTCGCAAATGAACGGTCTCTTATTAAGAATGCCCTTTCTAACTTTCTTAAAATATCCCTCGCCCGGCACGTGTAATCGCATCTTAAAACACCGCCTCTTCGGACGAGACTCTCGTAAGCCTGGATGCGCACTTCCGAGTCTTAACGCAAGTTTTTATTTGCTCTAATTTCTTATCAGTCCTCCCCCTGCCTTTAAGCGAATTCGCCGCAGCGGCCAAGTTCTCCGCTATCTTTCGAACATGCAAATGTTGCTGGAGGGACGGAGTAAATTTGCCGTGTCGCCGACCGTCCTTCGTTCCCTCGATTACTCTCTACAAGCCCACTTGTGATGCGATCGGGAGAGACATGTTGTATATCACCGGCCGAACTTCTTTGGCCGCCTGCCAAAACGCGAAAATGCTCAATTACTTATGGGCTTTTTCCTCGATTCAGCTTCCCTCGTCGTCCCACGCGTCCCCAGACATCAGATAGAGCGATAGGTTTACCTGGCGAAATGTTGCGTTGCATTATCCTATCTAAATAACCAGTCTTCCGCGTGACGCATGCACAGATCCCGGGCCCTTATCTCACGTTGGTGGCGATCTTCGTGGTAGGCGGGGTTAATATTATCCGAAGTAGAGCCGAGGGAGGACGAAGAAACGGGCGCTGATGCGTAATAGAAAAAAAGTTCCCTATTATGAGATAGGCTTCTAACGCGAGATAGCGAGTCTTCAACGTCCAAATTCAACGACAAATCTTTTTCCGCCACGATTGCACGATCTAACAATCAATTTGCCGCTAAACAGATCTCACTCCAAGGGCAATAAATTCACGATGGAACCAACAGATCGTGCCTATTAATTTAGCGGAAACTCCGCTATCTCATAAACAGGGGACTTTCCTCTATATAGGGTGTCCCAGGGGGAAAGGTCAATATTCTGGGGGGTGACAGCATCGGTCGTTTTAAGCAAAAATGTTCATATGAATATACGTCCCATTCCCCCCCCTTTCCCCCTGGGACACCCTATATTTAACAGTGCTTAAATTTACGTAGTCAAACCATAAATAAAATGTCAATCTCCTCGACGACGTGAAACAATCAATTCTACTTAAGCGTGTGCAAGCGTTTTCTTACAAACTCCAAGTACACACACAGGGCGCGATATCGTGCGAGTGATGCTCTTTTTTTTTCTTTTTGGCGTTTACCTTTACGTCGCACGCGATAACCTCCCGCAGCTCGCGCAGGAAGGCCCCGAAGAATGGCACCACCGGGCATTCCGGAATCGCGAGGGCGCGAGCAAGCGCACGATCGTATTCGGAAGACAGAAGGGCGGAGGAGAGATATTCCATGACCGGTATGCGCTCGTTCACGCCATGCCAGAACGGCTTCAGCTTGTTGGACCTGCAACGTAAGCGAAGCATTCGTTCGCGATTAGACGAGACATACTTTTTCGGATATTACTTAAGGGGTTAAAACCGCTGACGACGGAAATTCGCACGCTCCACTTTACCAAGTAACGCGCGGCAACACGTTAGAGTATTAAGGGGATGCTGGAGTGGTTTGATTTACCGACAGAGTCGCATACAGCTTTTGTAAATCTTATTATTGGCATTTATGTAAAAAATGGTACCAGACCGGATTGTGAACGGCATAGTAGAATATTTTCAAATATAAAAAACATTGAGGTTTGAAGTCTAAGTTCGTATCGCATTATGTGTGTGAAAATTTGAAATAAGATTTACAAACCCAAAAACTATATGCGACTCTGTCGGTAAATCAAACCACTCCAGCATCCCCTTAGTCCCAGTCTACAATAGATGATTTAAGCCCTGAGCTTTAAGAAATTGGCCAATCACGGTCAAGTATGAGTAGAATGCGCGACTGTGATTAGTCAATTTCTTAAGGCTTAGGATTTAAATCTCTATTGTGGACTGGCACTTAAGGGCGCGATACCGTCTTAGCGCTCTAATACTTTTTTCTATAACAACTAGAACAATGCATTACGCGCGCGTCATTTAGCAGTATCCTGATTCTTACATTTCAGGGTAGATTGTTTCATTCTCTTGACAAGTTGGTCACGGTGGGACCAACAGACGATGCCTGTTACCCAGTGAGAAATGATTCGTCGATCGATGTCGAAACGATGTCGAATCGACGTCAATTTGACGGTATCGATGTCGATTCGACATCGTTTCGACATCGATCGACGAATCATTTCTCACTGGGTTACTTTAGCGCGAACTCCGCTATCTCATATTATGAGTCTATCCCACGGTACAACTTTCTTCCTATATATTCTTTGAATTGTGTGTTTGTAAAACATGTAAATGGAGTTTAGCGGATAGATCGTAAGTTGTGGGATTAGCGGTGTTGCTTAAATAGGATTTAATACTCTAATGCAATAATCCAAATTGAAGTTAACATTCAGTAATTCCTGCTAATATCTTAATTTTGTACACCAACGTTATACAGCGGTTTACTCTGCGTGCAAAATTACTGAGCTTAATTTCAACTAAGGTAAATTTCGGAAGCTGCTAATGCTTAAAGGCGTGGACTCGAATAAATTAATTCGGGAAGCAAGATTTACGAACAAGTTCGATATTTCGGTGGCTGAAGCGTGACGTCGCTTTATTCGAAGTAATAATAGCAGTAATAATTCGACATTACGAGCTCGTTGAAAGTAATTTATATAATTTCTTTTTACTCGCGAATCAGAGATTTAATGTTTTTTTTTCAAATTTTCTTATATTACACGCGTAAAATGTAAAAGATAAATAAGTTGAGGTTGTATAAACAACTGAAATTTAGCGTCGTGGGCACAGCGAGTTGACATTTGCGTTTGTAGCGACAGTTTACATTTGTATGATTAAAAATTAAGCTGATACTCGCCGCGGCATCTCCGTACGAGGCAACCCGAGTGTTCGCGTTCCTTCGCAAACAGTTAGCTGCGTTTCGCGTACCGGCGGCCGTTAAAATCACGAAACGTTTACTGTTAAAGCGTTAATTATCTCTCTCTCTTTAAGCATTCTCCGTGGCGCAGCGCAGCCAGGGTAGCACCCGAAGGCTCCGGCGGCTGAGAGCGTTTCCGAGTGTGTGGGACAGTCCGGGGGGCGCAACGGTCGTTCTGGAAACGATATTCCCGCACGAAACTTTTATCCTCTCATTCGCGGGACGAGCACGGGAGGACGGTGTCTAACTTTACAGTCTCGGCAATAAAAAGTATTTTATTTCTACGCCGGGTTTCCGATGGGAACAGGCGGTAAAGGTTCTTCGCCGCGCCACTTACGGCGGAATTCGTTCGTCTCGCGGAGCATAAAAGAAGTGCATTGTCGCTTAATAACGAGTATCGTTATCCGCGAGAAGAGCGAAAGCGATAACCGAGTGGCGGGCGGGTCTGCGAAGCAGAACGTAAACAGAAACTTTCTGTTACAGGCGATATTGCGCTCGCCGATACAATTTCCTCCGCCGTTTCCGAGTCATCGGTCAGACCGGACGGTGCTCGCGGCATTTTTCGGCTAGGGCTGGTGGCCGCCGATTTTAATAACGTATAATGCATTTTACTTGAACTGCCCGCTGCCGGGGCGATACCACGGCGCGAGAATTAGTTAGCAATTTTTCCGCGATACACGGCCGAGGGGACGGGGAAGTCGATCTTGAATCTCTCAAGCGGAAGTGAAGTTCGATCCCGTTCTCTTTCTCCCTCTCTTTACGAGAATAAGTTCCTGAGAATATTCTTAGAGACGTTCTCCCCATTTAAATGTGCACGTGGAACATCGATCAGAACTTCCTAGCAGATTTTCAGCGTAGTTTTCAAGTTGGCAAAAAGAAAACCCCTTTAATAAAGTATTCTCCTTTAGACGCCTGGTAGATTACAAAGAACCCTCGTGCGGAAATCTCTCTCCTTTTTTTCTCCATTTCTTTTCCTCCCCCCCGAAGCACAAACAACAATATTAAGTCAATCAGCGTCAGCTTTTCTTTCAAGTGGGTAGACGGGCAATGGCGTGCTTTTATACCGTGTATCGCAGCAAAGATGTAAATTAGAATTGAAATGCAATTGGGGAAACTCGTGTACTCCATTCGTAAACGAATTTGCAAGTGAAACCCCGATAAAAGAATCACGCCACTTTGAAATCGAACGGCATATACGGTGTCTCGGAATACGATTGATTAAGTTTCTCGCCGTCAAACTTTCTCGCCGTCAAATTTTTTCATAGCCGCGATATGCTTCCGCGAGCTTGCCGAGTCGTTCTCCGAGACTTTCAAAGTCCGTCGTGCGAATATCGCGCTTGGTATTTTCCTTTCCCCCCCCCCCCCTCCAGTCCTCTCACTCGCCGGTAGAGAATTAATTATCAAACGAGCAGGAGAACAATTTTACGGGCGAGCAACGCGCGAGTCGTCGGTCGTATCCGTTGATCTCCGTGAAAATTAATGACACACATTCATTACCCGAATTACTCTTCAACGGGGAGATTATCCCACTCCCTCGCGAGGCATCGAGTTGAAAGAGGTCGCAGTCCCGAAAGAACTCGTGAAATAATGCGATTACGCCATTGTGAATCGTTTCGGGAAATGGGTAGAGCATCGAGCCGAGAAACATTCGCAGAATGAGCTACGTGTCGTGGTGCTCGATAAAACTTTCACGACAAGCTCTTAATAAAGCAAACTACCACGGAAGCCACTCCGCACTTGCAATAAGACACGCGATGGGGATCCTACAGAAGACGCATCTCTATGTTTAATATACATTAGGCTTATCTGAGTTTTAAAGGGAGAAACTGCGGATCCTCGGTTCCATTATTTCGACAAGGTATTGTGTCAAATGTGATTGGTCCACCGACACACGGAACGATTGTTGCATTTCTACCTTGCTCTCCACCAAGTTCTGTACGTTTAACGCATCCCAAATTCTTTCCCTCGGCATATTTCTTTACGAGTCCAGAGTTGACTCTAGTCTGACAATTCCATGATTTCTTACAAATTTTTACTTGTTCACTTGCACATGAAACTTTCACAATTATTCTTGTGTTATTTTAAAATGTGTTTTGGCGCTAAAGCTTAGACTCACGAGTAAAATTCAGCAACATAAATTTGCCTATCCGCGAAAGTTCTTTAATCGTTAAATGATTGTAATTAGTAGAGGTGTGACATTTTTATGTTATCGTTATGCGCAAAATATCGCGAAATGCCCCAGGAACGTCTTTAATGTCATTTCTTTACATTTTGGAGTCCCCAACTTCCTTTTAACACGTTTTTAAAACGCAAAACATTTCTAACGTCAATCTTGTATCCTAAACCAAAGAGATTTATGCCTAAGACTAGTTTTTGTTTACTTTTTTTTAAACATGTTACTGCTTTGATAGTCTGAAAATGATATGTAATTTCAGTAATTTGTTCCATGCTATTTTAATATTTTATGTTTTGTGTTACATTTTTTAACATATGTTTAGTCTCAATAAATGTCGTAAATTGTTCTGTCAAAACATTAAGGCCCGGTTTCACCAACGTTGTTTAGCTTTGAGCTTAGCTTAATTCGTTCTTTACCTCTTTCTAAAGTAACAGTTGGCAAGAGACAAAGAGCGAATTAAACTAACAATAAGTTTAAAGTTAAGCAACGTTGGTGAAACCGGGCTTAAGTCGTCTTATTGTGAAGCCCTGCCCACCTCTGACCACGGCATTATCAAAAACATTATCAAAATAATGCAAAATCCGGAAAAATAAAACGTGAAAGATGCCAAAAAATAACGCAAAATCTGGAAAAACAAATCGAAAAAATGCCAAAAAATAACATCAAAATGTCACACCTCTAGTAATTAGAAATCATCCTGACGTAAAAATAATCGAGATTTTCCCGCAATTTCCATTAAATATCTACATTTTATTTGCAGTAGTAGCCACCAGTAATTAATAACCGATCCATTTTATCATTGGCAAGTACGCGTTTCTTGTTTTCTGGTCTGATGGTAATGCACTGGCTGTTATTCTCAAGATAAAACCCATACGATGCATAAGACAGCGGGATGAAGAAGCAGAAACGCGCCCGCAAGCAGGTCGTTACCGCGTATAACGTTTATGCACCAGCCATGGTAAAGGGAATCTAGTATAAGTATTTCAATCAACTGGCGCGCGGGCGAGCGTTTCCAGTTTCCTGTTTGAAATCCGAGCGCTTTTGCAACATATTGTATTCGAGAGAAATATGTTTACAAATTGCGTAACAATTGCTATTCGTTAGCCAAATTCAAAGATTCGTCTAATAATTTAGGGGGGAGGGGGATGGGAACGCTCAAAGCTAAGAAAATTAAGCCGAGACGCGCAAGGATCTAATACAAAATCGAGTACATTTCCGATAATTTCAAAATGTGAATATTATTTGATATGTAAATATCAAGACAAGGTGTATCAACTACGCTGATTTTAATTTCAACGATGCACTCGACATCGGAAAAGAGATGACGCGATCGAAATTAACGAAGATAATATTCAGAGAGAGAGAGAGAGAGAGAGAGAGAGAGAGAGAGAGAGAGAGAGAGAGAGAGAGAGAGAGAGAGATGGAGAGCAATTAGTGTTTCAGTCCTCGTAAGTCAAATTCGTGCAGATCGTTGTTTGAAGGACACTTGTTCGACTCTAATAGCCATCCTTCTTTTGAGATGAAAGCATCTTCACGGAAAACCTGCAGTCGAATTCTGAATGGCATCTGGAAGCCTGACAAGTGGACAAAGCAACTTTGATCTCTCGCTCGTCGCAAATTCCAGATACGCGGCCGCGAAAATGTCAAAGATCTCACAGACGTATCGGCAAGTATTGTTATTTTCCAGAGATTTAAATCTCTATCGAAATTGGATCTTGTCCAATGGGAGGTCTAATACAGAGGATATTGCCTGAGGAGCTTGATATTTATTGTCGAGCGGTTCTTCGATTTGTTACTGAAGAAGGGACTAAATGTTTCTTCGGCCGCTGCTCGGGATACGAATCCCACGCAAAGAAATCCTCTTGTGTAATCGCATTAAGTACAGTTTGATCCGATTCCCGGAGATTTCGTAAAGTTTTTATCGATAAAAGTTCGGGACTCGACATCATATTCGATTACGCGACAGTTAACTCGTTACTTTCTTACTTAGGTTAATAAAACACTCGGAAAATTATATTGAAACACGATTCGAAATGTGAAACTTCTTTTACCAAAATATTTCTAAGGGCCTGTGTCCACGATGCTAGAACCGCGAATTTTACAAAATGGTGCACGACTTTCCTTTTCAGTTTAATCCGCGCTACCTGTACACGAGCGGATGGGCACCTTATCCGTAACACCCTGTATATAAACGCAATGCTAAAAGAAGTGTCAGAATTGCGAGAAATTGCATACTTTTTTGATTACACTTTTATCATGACGCTTAAATCTGCGTAAATTTTCTAAAAGCACGTGTAGATTTAATCTCCGTAGCACTAATCTCCGAGTCCTATAGAGCTATAATTTTGAACTTTCTAGAGTACAATTTCATAATTCACCAAGCTAATAACGTCTAAAGACATAAATTTTAAAAACACCTCTTACTTAGTACCAAATTATATATATAGATACTATCTGTAATTCTATACTGCTGACTTTTCCCTGAATTCGTTTGCATGTTATTAATCTTGTTTTATGCGAACGATAATTTTCCTCGCAGGACGTGAGAAAGTGTTCCATTCCAAGGATGTTTAATTCCTGTTTGCGAGGATAAACCACTTTGGATGCACTTTTAATGGGTTTTATCTGACTTTGCGCGAATGGTCAACAATCATCGCGACAAAACAAACTAAGTACAAAGTTTTTTAATTGCCAGTTTGTAGTCGATCAAAGACTTCTTCAAGTTAAACATTCGTTATTTCCCACGACAGTTGGGGGCTTTTCATTCACAGTTCATACAGCGGCAAAAGTTCGATGTACGTGTATATAGATATTCAGAGGTACCTTCGTGTTCGGAATAATAAACCCGAGTAAAGCCCGGGCTCCATTGTCTCAATGTGGAGAAATATAATTTCGAGAGTCCTTTATTCCAATAGATGGAGATTAATTGAGCGAGCACGACCTTGGAAGTCGCAACATCATGCAACAAACACGAGGAAAGTTTTCAAGGAAGCCTTGAATTCGGATTAGTGTCGCGATCTCGTTGGGGATTATACGTTTCGCAGATCCCTGGTGCGCGAGGCAGTATATCTTCGTAATTTGTATAAATTGCAAATTCCCCTCGTTTAAAATTTATTCCAGTCACAAATCCATAAGGCAATGTATAGAATAAAGTGCCGAAAACGACTGGACGTCCATCGTGACGAAGTTGCGCGCGTGCGGATGAAAGATACAAAATTGACTGGTTCAACGAGTTGGTCCGAGATCTCTGGTAATCCTAATTCGCGTTAATCCGAGAGATTAGCCGATTATATAATTGTAACGATACAAAATTATAGTTACGCGTATACAGAGGCGGCGGCCGCCAAGTCTCTAATCCGATCGAAACTCGAGACCGACGGGATGCGTGCTGCGGTCGTCTTTCGTAATGATCTATCGGCGCCGACAGCAACTTTGCCCTGCGGTTAGATGCTTACGGTGGATGAAGATGGATGGGGCTTCCGTAATTTTGCGGCGCGGGCCAAGAAATTGTATCACGACTTTCGTACCTGGCCGAAACAATGCCGACTTGGCTTACGGACGTAATAAAGCGGGCGCGTTGGCGAGAGGCGGTAAGGTAGCAATTCGAGGATTGACCTTTTAAGTGGGGGACTTAACGCCGTCATTCGCGTTTACGACGGGCATTATGGGTACTTACTTTAGACCGGCAATTATCTCCATGGCTGAATTAAAGTTTCCGGTATTCCAACAGGTTAGCGCGACGCGTAGAAGGCAGGACAGCACCGCCTGCCGTTCTTCTACCGTGGCACCGCTGGTGATCGCGTGGGTGACCCATGAGCTTACCTGATTAACAAACATGATAATGATTATCTTATTCGCATCGTGCGCCACTGTTTTCTACAACTAGGACGTCAATTTCGATGTCGTTCAAACTGAATGTGAATATACAGGGTGATTCACGAAGTTTCGTCCCTACTTAGGGAGTGCTTTTTTCAAGTTTACCCCGAGGGGAAAACCGCTGACCAAAATCTTGTTTTATCTTAGTTTATCTCAATAATGTCCCAGCAAGGCCTAATGCCCAAACTAATGCCCCAAAAATGCCTAGTAATGCCTAGTAATGCCCAGTAATGCCGCAAATCTGTACACTACAATGTCCTCAGCGGTTTCCCCCTCGGTTTACCCTTTTGTGGGGACGCCTTTCGACCGTTAAGGTTATGTCAGCGTGATATATCTCGAAATTCCTTGAAACTCGTGTGCTTAATCTTGATTAAACGAAATCCAACACTAGGCGCTTAAACTCCTTCGAGCGCTAAATTTTGGAAAGTTTCCCTGGCGGAAAAATATGCGGGGCGAGGGTCGGGATCGAACCGAGGACCCTACGATTACTAATCACTCGTGTTAGCACAGAGCTACGCGTCATCGCGCTTAGGGAGAGAGCGTTTCCTCTGAGGTTGTCCAGAGGAAAAATTGTTCACGTACAAACGGGATCTGATTCAATGAAAATGTTACGCTGACTTGAAAAGTTGGAGAAACGAATAATTTAATCAATAGAAAATCTTTTAAGCTACGATATTTTTCGTGTTCTGTACAATAGAACGGATTATCGCGTTGTAAGGCAGTCACGAAACGTTGCATTTACCCACGAGATGTGTCCAGGATCTTACGGCGGCTCTCTATTCCGAGGCTTTTGTTTAGCACAGTGATAAAGAGAACAGCAGCGTGAAAAGCGGAGGGATGGAGGAGAATCCAACGCTTCCAACCTTGAGCGAGGATTTAGAGTGGGAAATGGCAGTGGGGGGCGGCGGAAACGAGTAAGCGAGGTCAGGTGATACCCGTACGCGTGTGAATACGTACGTTTGCGAGGGTGGTGTGGGTGAAAGTGTCTGGCGAAAACGTACGGAAAGCCGCTGGAGAAGTGGATACCTCATTAAAAGCGGCTGATGAGGGTTTCCGCAAGACTGAAGCCCGAAGGGGGACGGGGGATTCTTGGCGAGGAGCCTTTTCCTCCGCGATTGTTGATTCGCGTCTATTACTACCCTCGTAGCGCAGCGTCGTTTTTCTTCTTATTTACGTGTCAAACAATAATAGCGCTTCGCCGATGGGAAACAGCAGTTTACGGAATCCTTCCGCGGCACTTCTTGCGGTCGAGGAGACACCTGCGTGCCGTTGGAAAGTGCGGTTACAGGGGTGGGAGAATTAATGTACCTCATTAAAACGATCGATGAGGATCTGCACGGTGGAGTACACCGTGGCAACAGGCCAGGACGATTCGTCCTCGGTTTGGGTCGAGCTGTTGGCGGTGCTGGGGTTGCTGCAGCTGCGACTCGGCGACGGGGGTGGCCTGGCAGGTGGTTTCTGCAACGTGGTCTGATCCTGCGCCACGTGTCTTAGGTACTCGTGCGGTGGTACCTGGTAGAATAGCTGGTACTCGCTTTCCGTCAACCTGAGCGCCACCTCCTCGGGGAAGTGCAGCAGCTTATGCAGATCCTCCAGCTCCTCAGAGCTCCGAGGCGGCTGCGGCTGCGGCCGCTTCTCCAGCTCTGAAAATGTTTATCAGATGCACCTTTACTTTCTTGCATATTCACGATGTGACATGAAGAGAACGAGGGAGAGAGGGGGGAGAGGAATCGTGATCGATGCAACTTTATTAAAGATAATGAGTATTATTTTTCGTCATAATCTATTTTGTTACATTCATATGATCGTACCTTAATAAAATTAAAATTAAAGATTTCATAGCTTATTAAAGTGTAGCGGACCTTAAAGTTTTCTAAAGTTTCTTAAAGTTTAACGAGGTTGAAAGTTTTTTTTTAAGTTTGCCCAAGTTTTGATATTAGACGTATTATTACGCTTTATATATTACATAGACCTTACTTGTACGTGTTTGCGTTTAATGTTGCGTAGCATTTTATTAATCTCGCGCAATGTAATGCACTTCGTGCAGTCTAACCGAGAAGAAATTCTTAGCCGACACTTTAATATTGGCGTTATTAAAGGACTGGGTTTAATTTCAATATTTAATGACGGCGCGGATAATCACGAGAAAAGTGAGAATGTAAAAAAAATCATATTGTTTTATAGAAAAAGTTAACATGAAAGCGGGACGAAAAAGAAGATGGAAAAAAGAGATGCTAAAAAGACTTGCTCGAAAAAAGCTTTTCTAAAATTATTTCGCGATTCCTTTGTACACGAAGTACTTTTACAGTGGTATATCTGTTATTATTTCTACTCTACGAAAGGTGTGCATACACGTACGTGAGTAAAAATGATGAAAATATTATCTAAGTCTCGATTTACGACATCTTTCGGTCGCGAACCAATTATCGATAAATGCAAAAGCGTTGTTTGTCGATTATTTGATTTTCGATTAACTAATATTGTGGAAAAACCGATAACGAATTTGCATATCTATTCGTACAGATAAAAGTTCCGCATGTCTGAGTACAAAAATTAAATTTTACTTTAACAATTACAGAAATATATGTTTGACAGAAATATTCTCTCTCTCTCTCTCTCTCTCTCTCTCTCTCTCTCTCTCTCTCTCTCTCTCTCCCCTCTTATTTGTTCATAACAGACAGCCGCAGCTACTTTCAATGCGGCTGCATCAAAATTTATGCATAAAACACGCGTGGCAATCAGGTCGCGCCTAATGAATCATGATAATCTTCATATGCAATTACATTTGAATTCGATATTAGTACAATATTTATTAAATCGCCCGAATTATGATTTAAATATGTGCAAATCCGAAATGAAGTTTACAGATGATTAATGATGTGTATTTCACTCAATTTATATCCCGCGCGTAAAGCGCATCTCGCGACCGTGCGTTTGACGATCGCGTCGCCGGCGATTGACGTTTCGAGCGTGGCAGTTTGCGAAAGAAACACAGCGCAATTTTTGCCCATCGTTTAACATTTGCCGCGCGAAAAGGTCAGCTCCAACGATGGTTTTTTCGCCGGCGCGAGCGATGCACGAAATTCAACGCGACCGTCGAATAAAAGCGCCTTTTAGGTCTTCGATGAATAATTCCGCGCCACGGGTATCGTTGATGCCGAGGTAAAAAGCTCGCGGTATTTTGTACTTCGACACCCGGTACGGAGCACCGGCACCGGTGAGATATGAGCCAAAAAGATATTGCGCGTTTGCGTAATCGAGGTAGCTCGGTGTCCCTCACCATGCAAGATTAAACGTTCAGTTTATCAGGACCGGCCGCAAAAATTCTAGGCGCGAAACGTGCGCGCAAAGTTGTCCCAACAACTTTTAAACCTGACCCAGTTTCCCACGGGGACGATTAAGAACGCTGTGTCTCGTTAGAATCGAGCACCGACGTAATGCGTGCTTAGAGACGGCGCAAAATTATGCGAGCGCATTCATTCGTAGCGACATTCGTAGGATGCCGCGGAATAATTCCAGGTATCTCGAATATTGCGAGCTTCGCCGTACTTGCCCCTGGCAGCGGAATAATACGCACGTATGCATTATATATTCTTTCCCCACCTTCCCTCGCCTTCCCGTCGTTGCTGGTAGTTATTTTTATTATACCTGTGACAACCAGCCCCGATGCCCGCTTTGTTGAACTTGAAAATTATTTCGGATCGCCGCATGGTTTTATCGTGTAACGTCAAGGGCGTTTCTTCTTTTTTTTTTGAGCTATTTGCCTTTTACGTTATTCGGGAAAATAATTTCTTTTTTTTTTAATTTTATTCATGGCCGTGCACCGGCCCGTTATAAGCACTGCGCCTTCGGCGAAATTGAAACACGAGCGGGGATATACGTACAACCGTGCGGTACGGGGCGAAAAACGCAAGACAGAATTTCACATTCGTCGATATCTCGTTAGTTTAAGCGCGAATGTAAGCGCAATTTAATATTCGCGCGGCTAATCTGCGCCCGGTATGCCGGCGAACGAAATGAGAAAAAAGGGACTTCGTTGCGTGTATTAGGCTTAAAGCCTGTCCAGCCTTATCCAGTTCGTTCTAGTACTTTGAGCATTTGGGTTTTACCGTAGTACAAGGTGGGCCAAAAGTAATCATCCGATGTTGTTTGGCTATAATTTGTAAATGAAACGAAATATTTCGGTGCGATTTTCTTTAAAACATTATTTGGTCTTTTAAGTTTTATTACATCAAGATTTGAAAATGATATCGGTCAAGTGACCGCCGCCATTGTTGATTACCATTTGGGCCCTTTTTATAGCATTTCCATGGCTTTTTTTAGAACGTCGGACGATATGTTGGCCGCTTCACGTCGGATGTTCTCTTTAAGGGCTGCCAGAGTCTGTGGCTTGTTCGCATAGACCCGCGACTTCAAAAAACCCCAAAGAAAAAAGTCAGGAACAGTCAAATCGGGCGATCTTGCGGGCCAGTGCATATCGCCGAAACGCGATAAGTCACGATTATTCCGCGTTCGTGTGGAGTGTAGCGTTCCATTGTTGATGCACTAATATTCTACACCATTATACTTCACAAATGTCAAAACAACTTTGACATTTGCCGCCATTTGCAAAAATTATAGCATCTTCCGATAGGGTGATTACTTTTGGCCCTTGTAGAACTAGTAGGCCCACTCTCTGTATGGCCCCTTTGATCTCTGCGGTCACGTGCCATTCCGCCATACACTCAGGCAGGATCCAGTGACGTGCGTATGTGTGTGTGTTTGTGTACACCTACTCATCAAAACCACACTACCACACATACAACTTTCCTCTCATTGGTCTGCCCAGAACAATGTCGGATGCGCAGAAGGGATCGACGCAAAACGATTTTTTTTAAGCTATTATTGGACATTTCTGGTTCAAAGCACGATTTAAGTTAATCAATTGTTGTTGATATTTGTAGTAGATTTGTATCTACAGCTGTCAAGCCTTTAAAACTAACCGGAACACGTAATAACAAGAATATTCGGTGTGACTCTGCGCCTCGGCATCGGGCTCCATTTCCCGCGCTCTTTTCTTTCGAATCAAGGACGAGACCATTCAATCCTTTGCGAGTGCGTCTCGCAAATATTCTCGCAATTACTCCGGGCGGAATTTATAATACGACGCAGAGCTTACCGAGATAAGTAGGACGCCGGACCGCTCACTACCGTAACATTTCCGTGCCGCGGGACCCGAAATTTCTCGTGCGACGTTCGCGGCGTGCACACATCTCAAACAGAATAATTGCCGATATCGCGATATCCCGCACTGTTTCCGCGCGCGTTGCTCTTATGCGGGGCGTATTATCGCGCAATGTATCGCGCGGAATGGACTCGGTCTGCATGCGCACGCTCGTCCATCAACGTCTTCGGTCTGCTAAGGATCTTAAACCACCGTGCAAACACACACCGTACAGTGTGGACAGAGTGGCCGGTTAAGCCCCGGCGTGCCCCGGCGTGTCCGCAGTCAATTGGCGAACCTTATCAGATAGCAGCGGCGATAACCCGATGAAGAGATTAATCAACATATCGGATCGTGAACGCAAACGGCTCCTGCATAATCGCAGCCTGCAGCGATTCTATCTTGTTTGCGAAGCAATCGCTCGAAACTTAACAGTACAAATGTCCGCGCTTCTGCAGTTACACATGGCGTGCGCCATTAAAAAAGTTGGTCAACAGAATGAATAAAATAGAGCCTGTACTCTTATCAACAGTTCGTTGCTAATTTCGCCGGCGATACTTGGATTGTTGACGGAATTGATCGTGCGCGACAAACGTTCCAGCGTTCTAAATATGTAAATGTATAGACACGATGTATATAGTAGACCTGTACAGGAATCAGAACACTTTTAAAGGAACTTTTGAAGGAAGTTCCTGCTTCTTTTAGCGATTTCGTCCGCTATTAAATGGACAAAATTTACGCACGAAGCCAGTTACATTGTTAAAGTTATAACAAAAGATGCCTCAAGAGCAGTTGCGATTTGTGCTTAATAGCAACGGGATAAAAATCTGAAGTGTTCTCCAATTTAGGATAACGTCGAAAAATGTCGATATTTCAAGAGACGTGTGAATTAACCCTTTGAAGCATACACTTTTCTGAAACTTAATACTTAAGAGTTTGGCTCGCTGATTCTGGGTGTCAGAATTACAAAACTCAAATGCAGCTTTCCAGGCGCCATGTTGGATCCGCCATTATGAATTTTGTAAATCTGACCTCGTATGTGTAATCAGTAACCCGAAAGACTTCCGAGTTCCAGATAAATCGCTTGCGTATTTTGCAATTTTTACTCTTTATACTGGATCCGCCGTCTTGCAATTTTCAATTTTCAAATTTTGACTTCAGGAGATGAGTGAGCGCAAAAACTCCCAGATACCTAGTTTCGAAATGTCGTTTACAAGAATAATTTTTTGACCACAGGATATCTTATAGAAAACAAAATTTTTTAATTAAACCCTTGGGAAAATATACCTTAGAAAAACTTAAAATTTTACAAATTAATAAAATTCGTATGGCTCAAATTTGATAAACACAAATTTGAAGGAATAAAGGACTAAGAGCCGTGACAGAGTGTTAGTGTTCAAATATTTTATTCTAAATTTATTACGTAAAAATATCACCTCAGTTATTAAAAAATACCAAATATTTAGACACTAGCACTCTGTCACGGCTCTTAGTCCTTTGTTCCTTCAGAGATTTGTGCTTAAAATTTTACTTTAGAAAAAGAAGAAATGTGAAAAGTAAAGGACACTTTAAACTTTTATTTAAGGTAAACTTAAGAATTTTAAGAATTTAAAAGAAAAAACTTTAAGAATTGTGAAAAGTACGTGATATAATTTATAATACCGCGTGCGGTTTTCTTCTCACGAGAAAGTGCTGTGCCGCGCAGCCCTCTAACGGGAATTTCGACAGGCTCGGCTATCTAAAAATTACTTCAAGTTTCCAAAATTACTCAAAAATTTCTCAAGTAAACTTTTAACTTCTTGAAGTAAGCACTTAGATTTGAAAGATTACTTTCAAAAACTTTAATTTTATTCAAAATAAATTTTCCCAAGGGAAACTTGAACTTTGAGCTGCTATTTTGAGTTAATCGTCGATAATTTTAGTACTTCAGATTCAGAATTAGCAAACCAAAAATCTCCTAGATATGAAGTAGTAAAAACACCGGAGTGAAAGAAGTGTTAATGTTACATTTCGGGAGACATATATGTTCCACCGTGCTTCAACGGGTTAAATGAATTATTATCTCTGAGCAGATCCGCTAGTTTTACCTTATCGCACGGCAGAAAGTTATGACAACGCGGCCTCGACGAGCGCTTACCTTATCAGGTGATGGTGCGGCCACGTGGGGTGGAGGAAGTGGAAGTGTGGCTGGGTCTGTTGCCGTCGACGGGGATGAGAGAGCGGCCTAGCTCGCTGCTCCGTGAAATCGCCGGGGCCCGCCGGTGGAATTAGTCCGACGACCAGGCCGGGTGATCCCCGCGTAGTTCCGCGGTCTGCATCAGGACGGCTCCATCGATGTAGAGTCGATCGGGAAGCCCTTCTCACGCCCTCCTCCGCCGAGCTGCTTCCTCCGTTGTCGTCGTCTCCTCAAGCCTGGCAACGCGCTGGCCGCGATCTGCGAGAGAGGAAAGAAGTATAAGAGAGGGCTCGAAGTCGAGAGACTTGGATTTATTATCGAGAGAAAGAGAGAGAGAGGTGAACCGGGAGAGCGAATCCAGCAAGGACATCGGGAGACGAACGATTTATAGTCCTTCGAAGGACCCGAAGTCCACCGAAATCCGTTCAAGTACGCCACGCGTCTCTTTCTGCACGTTCTTGAGCGCGAGGTCTCTTTTTCACGGACTCGCATGGGTAGATTTATCATGGAGATTTTTACGAGGATATCGGTTCATCAGCCTCTTTATCGCAGTTCGCGAATCAATATATTCGTAGTTGAAAACGACATTGGCATACTTGAGAAATTCGCGAGAGAAATGCGAGTAAGAATATTTGTGCGAAATATTATACATCTCGGGCTCTTCGATAGTTGTTTTATGTACATATTTACGTAATGGCTTGGAAAAAATTGTTGATTGAGATTTGGGAATTGTCGCTGGAAAATAAATTAGATACATTTTTCATATGCAAATTAGTGCATCTTTCGCTCACTGGTCATGTTTCCCGCTAGAAAAGTGAATTGAAAATTGTCCAAGTATAATTAAATGGAAATCGAATATTTCGACAGAAACATTACTTAATTCTTTTAAAAACTCGATAGTTAAGTATAGCGATTGTACTCGAAGCAACGTCTCTATTTCTCTCCGCACGTTGCTTCACGTCAAAGAACAAAAGGTCGGTACCACGTTGGAAGAATGATGCTTCGCGCTAGAGAAAGAACGTCACGAACGTCTACCACTAAAGAGAAGCCTAAAGAACAAAAAGAAATGAAAGGAGATGGCGTAGGAGTGTTCCCCGTTTTTGTTAAAATGAACTGGCTTCAAGCCCAACTCATATTGTTGCAAAGCAGCAGGGATTCGCGTGCGCTGTTATCGAGATAAAAGTACATTTACGGTCTAACCGCAGACGACCAAAACGTTTTTATTCAATTTTCTCTTTCCTGATATTTAATTAAGTGCAAGTAGAAAGATGGTATCGCGTTTCGTATAAATATAATAGATCCAAAGTTCTCGCACATATACCTTTTTATATTTCTTTGATTTATTTCATACATTTTACATAGTAAATTACTCGTATGATAAAATTTCAAAGAACTCATGAAATTCCTCGAAATATGTTGTCCCGTGATCACACGATTCCCTTTCTAAAAAAAGAGATGTTACCAGCGCGAATGTCGTTAATATCAAACAGTTGAGGTTGAGGGCCTCCTTTGCGCGATGCTGATTGGTTTTCTTGAAGCGCGGTGTGATTCACTTCTCTTTTAGATTCGTGTCATGTTTCAGCTCGCATGTGAATTTTGACAGTTGAGCAAAAATATACTTAGAGAAAGTTATAGAGACTAAACAAAAAGTTAAAGAAAATGAAGTTAAAGTTAAATATCTAATTGAGTGAAGAAGAATGAAAGAAATTCACATTCTTCTAATGAGACACAATGATAACTAATCTTCTTTTTAAAAAGGTAGGTAAGACGTTTAATTATTAACGCTGTGCCGCGATGCTGATTTTCTCGCTTGGCTTTGTACTGCGAGTAGCTGCGAAAATCATGTAATATGTATTTTGACAGAGTGTCAACGTCAGATTACGTCTTCTTCACAGGAAAAGAATCTTAATGTGTGAAGAAGATCACGAATAAATATAAATTAAAACCAAGTAGCGCGCGCAATGCTATTTCCAATAAAGTATTTATTTAATACCGATTTATATTATTATTAAAGTAAATAATTCGATAATTTTTGCCCATAATAAATAAAGATTTGCAATTTAGTAATATACATTTGTATACACCAACTATTCAGGTAAAATCTCTAATCTTAGTAATTAGAATTTAAGTAACAACGATTTTTGTTCCGAAACATTTTCTCGATTGAACAGAATTAATCGTTAATTTAATCAATACCAATAAGTCCGCGGAATAATACGCAAAACGTAGCAACAGTCACGGAACAAACTAAAGTACAATAAAATATTAAGTACGGAATTTTCCATTGCGTAGGCAGGCCAACAAATTCTCAACGTTTTTTTGTTGTTTTTCACTCGGCGCGGTATCGTACGACGATTAAGCGGGCCAACGAATTCTCAACTTTTTTGTTGTTTTTCACTCGGCGCGGTGACGTATGATGTTTTTGCCATCGTTTACCTGAAGGTCGCCGCGATCTCACTCGCTCGCCGAACGTCGAGCCGGCAAGCAGTGAGTCGCTCCGTGCGTGGTATTACTTTTGCGTTATTTGCGTTATCGGTTTCCAACACTCGATCGCGACAAGTGTAGGGATAAAACGCTATCGATTTGTACACCTTTATTAGTAACGAGTAACGTTCCTCGAGTAATTATTAAGTTTCTACAACTTGTAATGAGAAACGAATTGCGTGTTGAGGCGCCGGCTCTTTATCAACGTATATAGATATTTCACGAGACTAACTCATCTAAAATATGAACGTAAACCGTGGTACTTTGTCGCGGTTACATCTCGTTTACGCACCGCGCTTTTAATTATCTATCGATTCCGTGTAATCTATTCCATTTTCGGGAAAAGAGAGAAATTTGTGCGACCTCGGCGTTCGCGCTGTGATTCGCTCTGTCGTTCTTCGCAACTCGGACGGGCGGGAAGTAAAGAAAGTCGCTTATTGCATGTCGTTACATTGTTAGTTTGGGTAATTTGTATGATAGAGAGTCACACGATATTAGTTAATAATATTTCGTGCGTTTCGCGGTATTTCACGTCGCGCACGGGAGTGCCCGAAATTTCGCGCGATCGATGATTTTCGCGAGTTAGTGTTGTGTGAGTGCAACAAGGAAATCTGAGAGGAGGACTCCAGACCTAGGAGGCATCGGGCAACAGCGGAGAAATCAGTGAGGTGAGTGTTTTACATTTTCATGTTATTCGATACTTGTGCAAAATAAAGTATCTGTTCTGTGTTTTTATTTTACTTATTCAAATGATTCGAACGAGGATTCGAATAAGTGTTGGAGACAAAACCATATACGTATAAAATTTTGTGAGCTTATATTTAAAAGGAAGACTTTTTCAGTATTCTATATAATTATTTCAATAAATACCTGTTTTTAAAAATATAAAATATAAAGTATATTTAATATAATCATTTCGATTTTACATAATTAGTCTATAATAATCATATACATATTTGTATTTTTACAGTTTAACATATGCAGTTGACGATGTACAATTCTGCTGTTGCGAATCGTATCAGTGAGTGACAAGTTACTTTTTATTTTAAATTGACGTGGCGCATGCAATTACTTCTTTGTATGTATAGAAATTCTTAAAAATGTACACTGCCCGACTACAAACTGCGCGCGCGGAGCGCGCGTTTTGTCATTTCTAGTACGAGTTTGAGGATAAATTTTAAGAGAAAATTCTCTCCGTGTATAAAATATAATTTTATATAAAATGTGCAAGAAAATTACACAATGGTATCTCTACTTCTTTCGCTTTATTTTACTTACAACGCGAGTAGAAATTAATTAATTCCAAGTTTAAAAAATTCAACGTTGTTCGATTTATTGCCATTTCACGCGTATCTGTTTTATCATTTCATTCGCAATTCTGAATCGACGAGTTAATCGAAAGAGATCGATCGCTCTTCGACTTAACGTGTACAGTTTGAGTTTCGTTTACGTTCGGTACTCAAAGAGTTAAAATTCCGTCTTGAGAGCTGCGTTAGATTAACTAGGCTCGATGGTATCTCACGCATTATCAGTCATAGCGTTGTCGCACGGTATGCACATTCGTTATCCGTCGCGGCGGAATTAATCAGAAATTCGTCCCGCAAGTGCTCGCATTCACACCGAAAACTTCCGCGTCGCGCTCGCAAGCGCGCGAACTCGCCGCCGCTTCGCGACCGTGTTACGCGAAACTTGGCGAAAGTGCGGACCCTCGTTAATCCATAAAGCAGCGCGGTTTCGCAGACTGCAGCTGCAAGCTGTCGCTGGCGGAATGCGCCGGCGTGTTTCACCTTTAAACTCCGGTCTGATAGGGCCCTCGAAGAGCCGCACTTGACGGCTCCATTTTGTCATGTTCCTCTTATGCATTAGCCGCTCAGACGCGATTGAGATGATTAAGCGTAAGATCAGGTAAATTGTTTCATAACACCACACCTGCCCTGGGGATATAAAGGCGAGCGACGAGATTAAAAATGTGATGCACTCAGTTTCCACCTGTATTCCAGCTCGACTTGCCCGCCGCGATAAAACGCCCGTTCTATACTTTTATAGAGACAAATCGGTGAAGAAAATAAACGAATATCAATCCACAGTGATTCGCACTCTCTAAAACTTTTCGAGTGAAATTCTCACTGAAATCATGCTGTCACTGACCACTCCACTCTATTCGAGTGAATAATCACT